GAAAACGTAACTTTCTTGCTCAGGAAACTTTTAGAGAAGAATTTTGTTTGCATTTCTCGATATCGAATTGTGGCGGAATTATCTTCGACTTCGAATTCATCGAGTCGAAGTCGTTGCACAAAGACTGTCGGGAATAGTTTTCAAGTGACACCTACGTGCGAAATCCACCGTGATCCTTGCAAAGCCTTGAAATCGATACCTACGTTCCAGGCAAGATCGATATTCGTACTAAATATCGTTGCCTTTTTTACTATGTTTATCTTTTCTGATAAATAAATATCGTTTGAATGATAAATTGCACGAGAGATCAACTTTAAGAGGGATCTGTGCGTATAACTCAATCTCAGCGTGCAATGTTATTTGCAGAAATGGAATTCTTTATATCTGCGCCAAACATCGCACTGCACTGCAGCAGACACATGGTGTTTATTTTCAACGCTGGAATTAACAACGACTAAAGCATACATTGTGCAGCGAAAGATAAAAACGGCGCGAGAGAAAGATGACATATTTTGCAAGAAAGAAAAAAAATTACGAAGCTTCCAGAAATACGTCAGCGTATATTTTTCTTAAATTTATGAAATTTCTACGGGAAATTATGAATTGTCCATTTTGCTCTGGCAACGTTTTTTTTTTTTTAAATATTGTAAAATTTCAGAAGGAATCAAGAGAGATTAGTATCTATAGAATGATAGAAGAGAAATTCCTGTTATCTGTGCCAAATATTGCTACATCGTGTTATCTTTAATGATACTCACTTCCATAAATGTAAGACAGAGTAAAGGAGATTAATATCAATTTCATCTGCCTACAATATCATCTGCTGAAGAAAAAATCGTGATATCCATGCCAAATATCGCTACGTTGCAAACACTTGTGCTATCCTTAACGATATCTTATGCAGATTCTCAGTCAAAAGTCTTAGGATACTTTTCATTTTTAACATGATTTGTCATGGACAGTAAAATTTTCCAACTGCCTATATATTTCATAACACTTACAGATTGTTTTGTTGTAATAAAGAACGTATTTAATTTCTTCAATCTCGCAATAATTATAGCATTTGTTCCAAGACTTTTAAGCGTACGTAAACTCTTTCTTTCCGCTCTTTAAGCGAAACGAAATACTTTAAGCGTGCGAATTAAAAGAGATCGGCGTGTAATTCAGCCTTAGCAAGGCAATAGTATCCACAAAAAGAAGATTTCCACGAAGATATCGTTCCACTCTGAAAAACGCGAGCCTCGTTTGAGGCGACACCCGGCTCGTAATTCAACAACCGCGGTTACCCACTAACCTTAACCGACTGCACGAAACAGAGATAATAATGGCAAGAGCCGATAATAGGTCAACGTCGGAGAAAGTTTTCGGCGAGTCGTTCCGTTATATACCAAGAAGACGAAGCAGGCCGAAAAGCGGCTCCTCAGCCATCGGTGACGCCCATTGCGATCTGGGTCGATCATCGACGTCGATCTAGCCGAATTTCGCCGCTCGATCACTCCTGAACAAACACCTCGTTAAGGTTCCATTTTGAAGATTTGCACGTTTTTCCACGTTCTGTCGAAATATTTCTTTAGATTATTGGGCTTATTGCCTGATCAAAAGGAAACTCTACAATGACGAATTTGTATGATTATATTACATAGAAATTTATACTTTCATTTCACTATGATTTAGTTTAAGAAACGAAGTATGGTTAATGATTCTCGTAAAATATTGGTAAAATTTATGAGTCATTGATGATAAGGAAATGAAAAATGAGTTGAAATAATATTATACATATAACGAAATGTATATGTTTCCTTTGATTTTTTTTTTTTTGTTAAAGTATATGGAAGAAGAATAACGAATTTGATCGACGAATTCATGAATTTATCTCTGGTAGGAATTTTATTTCTTAATTATTTTCGATCAAAAAACGAAGCTCTGAAGAATATATCTAAGTACAATCCACGATATACCTACGCCATTTAACAACAGAACGACACGCACCGATCACTCACTTGTCAGAGACATCCACATCAAACCTCCATTCCCTTCAATCCAACTCTCCATCTCCACGACTGACACATAAATATAATACTAAAATCACGCTCGATTTCAATTAGACGAAACTAGAACGAGTACGCCACGATCGATTACAACCCTTCTAAATAATATCTCACCGCAACAGGAGATCGGTCAGATGAACTTTCGACATCTCGCCGCACAATCCATTTACTCTTCCATTCTCCGTTGCCGTCACTTTGTCTATTAGTCACGGTAATTAAAGTTGTTCCGCCAGTCCACACAAAGATAATACTACGAATTACTTAACACGATTGCCACACGAGGACGAATTACTCTCGTCGCGTCCCGTTATATATCGTCGATCGGTCACAACGATATAATCGTTTCACGTAACGATCACGTGGAAATGGTCACCGGGGCGATCATCGTTCCACGTTAATTACGATTAACTGCCGGACCGGTAATTGCACGCTTGTTTCCACGCTCGCTTAAGGAGATTTTCCGCGAAACGCGACGCGCCGATCGTCGCGATCCCTCGCGCTCCAAAGAGTTCTCCGCGCTAATTGCGGACACCTGTGAATTCAATTGCCGCGAACAATCGAACGCTCCCGCGGAACAATCGGAATTCTACCGCGGACCGATGCTCCTTTCGTTGTTTGCGCGTCCGTGGGTATTGATATAGCCTGGCCAATCCTATTATAGAATAATAACGCGTTTTGGTTGAGTCCGATCGGGCGAGATAGAGTATGAATTAAATTGCGGTTTTCTGAATGCGGTCTTAGAGAATGGAAGACAAATGTGGCTCTCCGATTATCTTTGTCTCGTTAATAGTTAGTCGGTTGTTGTTCCGTTGGAAGTGGACTAGATTAGGTGGAGCATTTCCATTGCAAGAAATTTAACGTAAAATTCAATAAAAGCTAGTAATTTAATATAACTAGTTTTGGTGTGATATAGCAGATAATAATTGGTAACATAAAGATATACGTTTAGTGTTTGGGAAGATATGATTCACTTGCTAAAGAAAATGATATTACGAACTAAATTTTCATGAACTAAAATTTTTCTTCTGATTTATTTTCTTCGAATATTTTAAATTAGAATCGAATTAAAAGATCAAGCCATGGTATTAATCATTAATCTTCCATAAACGTCAAGTACTCTATACCGCAGTCGACTTTAGAGAAACAAAAGAAAACGAGGAAAGCTCACGCACTAGAAATGATCCAAGAATACCAGAAAATAACACCATGATGCCATGATCATGTCCGATCGCAAATGGAACATTCTACTGAATCGTACAACACGCAAACGTGTTCACGTTAAAAGTTTCCCTTAAATTGACCCTCACACGTAACGTTCGCTATTCACCGCTGGAGTATCAAGGTTCGATACCGATTTTTGTCATAATAAAATGCAAGAGAGGACGAAAATTAAGGGCAGATAAGAAAAGGGGAAGAAGTACGAAGCACGATCCGTGCAATCAGAAGTCATCTGCGATCTCGGCTGCGAGACCTTGAAATCACTTATGACTGTGATCGCGCCGATTTCCCTGTAATCTCGGGATTATCGAAGGCCCGCGCACGGAACGAAGAACTTCCTCCTTCTCGTTCTCGTTGCACGCGTTTCGTCGTCGTTCGCGTTGTACGTACGATGGGAAAGGCTCGGTTCGGATTACGCGATCCCCACGCGATAATGATTACCGCGCGCGTCACGCTCGTCCACGGGAGCCATTTTTCTCGCCGCGCCGTGAAATCGTACACCGGCGCGAGCGATTACGATATAAATCGATCGGTTTCGTGCCGCGGATTAATAGCGGATAACGGAATCGCTGCGGAATAGTTGCGTGCGCGTTACTACTGCCCCGAGACCGAGGCTTAACGAGACAATCGGACGAAAATTGAGAACGAAATTCCTCTCTTCGTGACTCCAAATTGCTGTAGAAACGCGCGCTTAAATGAGATCGATCGGTTTTTATGATAGATTTGATCGTTCTTGTAGATGTTCGATACCTGGATTTTATTCGAATTGGAGTATGTTGCGATTCGTGTGAAAATGGTGGGGAGTTTAAGTCGTCACGTTGTTGTTTTTGGAATTGTGTTTCAAAGATGCAGGACTCTAAAGATTCTAGTTTGTGTGTCCAGCCTTTACGAAAGCTGTTGCAAGAGAAAAGAATTTTTATTGTTGTAAAACGTTGAAGTTTGTCTCTTTTTTTATTCAGTCGTGAATGATTGTTATTCTCTTTAATTTGTTTCTTTTGTCATAGCAGTTTTGCGATGTCAAAGATATAATGAGTCGAATCAGGAGAAGTAAATGCAAGTGGAGGTGTGATATTCATATTATAGTCTTACATATAGGATTACATATCGCTAGTAAATTGCCATCTTCAAGGGTAATTTTTCATCACTGTAGAAAGTAGCTTGAGCTGATCTATTAAACCATGCATTTAGGTAAGTGGCAATTTTGATCTAGATTTTCATCTTGTAATTTCATTTGCCTCTCCTGACTCGTTAAACAGAGCTATAGCTTGATATTGAAACACCATTAACTTCGTGAAGATTTCTCGATAGATTCCCTAGTCTAGAGAAGATCCTAGTTTACATTTAATATGACATAACAGCACCAACTATGTAGCTCTAGATCGTTATTTCGTAAACAATTAGAATTAGAAGGATAATTTCCTAAATCCCTTGAACAGTTTCCTTGAAACCTTAATTTAAATCCACCATTAACGTTATCCACTTTGATATATTATCCTCCAATAATAACACCACTCTATTTGTCCACAAACTCTAACCCTTTTCTTTCCCTTAAGAAGAACTAAACTCCCAAATCTTAGAACCCCGAAAGCGCAAACCGAACGAACGAACGAAAGGGTTCGACGATCCGCGTGTTTGACGAAACTGTAACACTATAATGTATAACGTTGTACCGGCTGACACGGGGCTAACACGTGGCTTTCGATGTTTTTCTCCTGGCGCGGCGTCGCGACGCAGGAGAGCGACGGTGGTTGCGATGGTAGCGACGCCGAGATGATCGGTAATGGGAGACGCGGAGGCGGAACGGAAAGGGATCGCGATATGGAGGAGGATGAGGACGAAGGAAGGGAGGAAAGGAGCTCAGAGGGTGGAGGTGGTGGAGGTTTCGGTGGTTGGAGGTCCCACCTGCTCGGTGGGCTGACGCAACGTGTCAAATCCTGGTACTGGGGCGCCAGGCCCCTCGTAAGTTTAAATTTAAAACGAAACCACAAACACACAAAAGTCTATCACGCACAGATACTTTTTTCGTCTTTTTCTTTTCTTCGATCTTCTCTCTCTCTCTCTCTCTCTCTCTCTCTCTCTCTCTCTCTCTGTCTGTATTTTTCTCTTCGTTTCTCTCCTCTTTTTTTTCTTTCAACCTTATCGAGATCTGTTTCGTTTTATTTTACTTGAAAATTTCTAATTTCTTTGCTCTTTCTGCTCTCTCACGTCTCATGTTCGCGAAACGTTCGAGCGTTTCGAGTCGCGGCGAACGGACACCTCGATCTGGAACTTCTCAACGAGTTCCCTTGAAACTTAAACGGCCCGGACCTGTCTTAACGAACCTCGAGTGTTTTAAAAGCCTCCGGGCGTTAAAATGTCCGCGGCAATGCAAATTTGCAAATTTCCATCCGCACGGAACTGAAATTTCGTGGCTTTTAACGCTCTTGGATTTTTCAACGCCGGTCAAGATGAATGGACTTTTCAAGGTTCTCTTCGGGATCCTCGCGCGGTTCGTTGCGATTCGAGGCGACTCGTTTGCAAATCGAAGAGGGAAGTCGTCGAGTGTAAAGTCTGTCGACTTTAATGAGATATCTTTTCTCTACTTTTTTTTTTTTAATTTTATTCTATCCTTTTAATTGCTCTATAAATTCAAAAAAAAAGTATAATTGAAAAATTACTATCATTCTTCGTGTATCTTTCTTGAACTGAAAATGAATTGAATTCGTGTAAAAATTTTCCTTTTGGGATCGGGACTCTTTTCAGAAAATGAGAGAAAGATATTTATTCAACAGTAGTCTCGTTTTCATTAGATCCAACATTAGATCAGTAGATAAAATAGTGACGTATTTAATGTGTAACATTTGGAGTACAATCCGTCGGATATTTAGCAAAGTAATTAATAGACACGATCGTAAAAAGTAGTGCCAATAGCTAGATCATATATTACGAGCTAGTTAATAAATCTTTCTAATAACTTTAGTTCCCGACAGATAGAACAAGTTGAGCAATTATCGGTTCAGAACTTGCCTACTTTCTTCAACACAATAAGACAAAACGAATTTTTTTCAACGTTTTAAAACTGAAGAAAATATGCAAACTTATTGAACACGAAATGAGAAAGTCCGTATCTTGTAATTTCTTAATTTGAAATGAAAATTGCTAATTTTCAGTCGGCAATTTTTATAACTTCAAATGTTCTTTAATTTTTGACCGTAACTTTTAATTAAATGAAACTTGAAAAATGCAAGCGAAAATTTTCATTTTTAATCAAAGTACGATCGTACGTGAATAAAAAATAGAGTCATATTCGACGCTCATTGAAAATTAAAGATTATCTTAATTTAAACGTCTAATTTCAAGCTATCGGATACGATCATCCCCTTCGGCATGAAATTCTCTCAATTTAGATCTCTGTCTTTCTGTTCACTATATATTACATTACATACATATATATATCTCTTTCTCTCTTTATCTGTCTGTCTCTTAGTTCTTTCTCTATCCCTGTTTTTTACCAAGATCAATTTTTCCTTTTACTGCTCTTAGAGTTAGCGAACTTAGTCGAAATAGCGATAGGTGTGTACGTGTTTTTTCTTAGATGTCTTGCACATGCTACTTTCGATTTGTCCTTAACTATATTCAACGCACGACTACTGTAATATCTATGCAATGTATATATAATTATGAAAAACGTTGAAGTTCAAGCGTTAAAAATTTATAATTATATATACACCGTCTGAACATATGTCAAAGTGTATTTTTACATTATAGATGTCTTGGCATGCACGATCACTTTACTCACATCGAAATACAGTGTTAGCGTTATAGGTTATATAGTCAGGTACAATGGTACGTGAACGTTCCTGATCAGACAAATATTTCACTTCGCATCGCAAGACCGGCATCCAAAAGAATTTCTGCTACGATCCTCGAATTTTCCTATCATTTTAACGTGTAAAAATGCATTCATTATTTTAACCGAGGATATAAAAAGATTGCAAGAAAAACTTGTCTCATATTTTCCTTGTATTCGAGAAATTTACGAATGAAAAGAAAAATTTGTTTGGTTCAGAAATAAGAATTGGATTAAATTACTGAAATACTGATTATATTACGTCGGGAATTTACACAAATTCGCATCTCGAAAAGAACACGGATGAAAAATCGAATCGTTCCAGCTCTACCTTGTTTTATACATTTTTCTCTGTATTTGTGCACCTTTAAATTTCCCACGAGTTAAAAAATCCGACGAGTGCAATTTGAGTGATTCAAGCTCTGCAAGAAATTAAAATTCTTTTGGACATTTCTCTCAGAATGCAAGGTGAAACTACACTCTGTCTGGTGAGAAACTTTTGCTCGACACTGTATGTTTACGACGTTCCTTCGCTGCAAGTTCCAATCCGTAGAAACGGCAAACAGAGTGTAAAAACAGAACGTAGGTACTAGCATAGTTCGTTTCATCTTATCCGATCGTTGTAGAGACCATCATTAGAGATTAGAAACGTGCAATTGGATCCTGAACGTAGATAGTGAATAGAACGAGGCTGTAGATAGGAACTTGGTAGGATGAAAGTCTTGATCGGTAATGGGACGCCATCGATGACGGTAAATTGGCAGAGAAAGCGTAGACAGAAGTTTTCACCGAACAAAAGAGACTCGAAGGGAACCGGAAAATCCGTGAGGAAATGGCTCTCTGACGAGTTTTAGTTGGACGAATAACGCTCACGCGTCATTTGGATTATTTGTCTTTGTATCAGATCGGTTTCAACCCTCTATCTTATTTTCCTTAATACTTTTTAATACTTTCTTTTACATACTGTTTTGTTTTTAAATAACAAGTTTAATCGAAAATTACAGGGGAAAAATATGTTGAGACACAATTTTTTTTTATTTTTTCACAGGAGAGCAATTCTACAACACTCGTGTATTAACTTCTGTGTATTACTCGTTGCAATTTCTAAAATTTTGTTTTTAACGCTAAACATATATTTGGAAATCGTTAATTATTGTAACATTGTTGTCATAAAATTTTACGAATCTACCATTTACTTTTTAACTGATTTAATACAAGTTCCTTAATTTTAGATTGTTCAATTCTAATTTACATTCTACATTTTACATATAAAATAAGTGATCCATGACGTATAACTAGGAAACTGATAACTAAACTTATGACATTTTCCTACGTAGTCTTCAATTTTACCTCACTTTTATGCCTCGCATCCACTCGTACGAAAATAGAAAAACAGAAATTGGAGGGTTGATTTCTCTTTCAAAATTTCATTTTCCACTCCTTTCTTTTTTTTTTTTTTTCTTTTACAGTGAGACGTGAGCAAAGAAATGTTTTCACTATTGTTATTTTTGCAATTATTTTACAGTTGCGCGGTGACAAATAGGATCCACGTAGGAACGAGTAGGAAGAAATTCACAGGGCGTGAATAAACGCGCGTGTCTCCGTCGCACGGTCGCATTTGCTCGCGAAACACTTTCACCGTTCGCGAGATTCGCGTTTCTCTACGCGAGCGGAAGGACGGCCGCGAAACTTCGCTCGCGAACTCGCACGATTTTCATGTTCGTCGACCGTGACCTACGTGATCCGTCTATGTCGATGGAAATTTGACGCACGCGATGAGGGGTCGAGCAGATCGGGCGAATTTCGAAACGACATCGTAGCACTAGAGTGCCATTCATTGCGAAACGAGAATATTCTACTCGACGTGACGTTTGTCACTGGAATTGCGATTAAGAAAAGTCAAAGAAACGTGTGAAAATAATACGTATTTTGAAGAAAGAAGAAGAAAGAACATTCTGTCAGAAATTTAGCTAAAGAAGCGTGTAACTTATCTATTTTGCAAATCTGGAAAATTTGTAAAATCTAGAAAATTTAAAGATTCTAAAGAAATCTAAAGATTTGCCACAAGGAACTGTAGAATTCAAAAAATCTGTAAAATTCTCGCGAGAAACGACAAACTCGTAATTATGATATCTCTGGTAAATCTGCGTCAGAATTCACGAGAGCTCAGTTAGGTGCTGGTCAGAATTCCTCAGATATTCCTCGAGCAGCGTTAGAAGAGAAAAAGAATGAAAACGCAGAGTTTGCTTTGGAAATTGAAGAGCAAAAAGTTCCGCGAGAGTTTCGAAATTCGTGAAACTCGACCAGTTTGATGAGAGAAGGATACGTGACTAGTTAAGACACTCGTTGGAAAGGTTTGATCAAGTATTCAAGTGTCACGATCATTTCTATCATTGTTTTCATGATCCCTCGTCTTTCTTTTTTTTCTGCACGTCGCAGTTAGAAATTGAAGAAAAAAAAAAAAAGAAAAGAATTTCGTTGAATGTCGTGCATTAAGAAAGATGATCGTGCAATCGCAAATTTCGATGAAAACATAAAAGAGAATGAAAAAAAAAAATGAATAAATGAAACAAAATGATGTGATTCGATCGTATAAATAATTGCACGACAAAACACCACCACTACCACCACCACCACTCTGTTCGAGCACCACCAACACCCAACTGCTACCAGCCTATCAGCAAGCATGAAACTTAATTTTTTGATATACTCTTGTGATACCTATATCGATATATATTTATTTATATGTAAAATAAATATAAATATATTTCACGACATATGTTTATATTTATCGTTATATATATACATATATATACATTATATTCATATTCACGTTTTTTCTACACGATGTTGTGTACGATGATTGTGATTGCATATAGGTAACAGGAAGAGATGTGCACCGTTGTGGAGAAGCGAAATCCGGTAGGCAATGCAAGTTGGCTGTAGAATAACTACAACGACAAACTTGATGAATATATTGTAATATATTTCCTTCTTATTGCATTACTACGACGACGAATGTATTATTTGAAATTGAATTTAACGAGGTTAAAAGTTGAAGATTACGAAAATTTATGTTCAGGATAATTCAGTTGGAATTAATCGTCTGAACGATTTCTCAACGAATATTTCAAAGCGTTCAAAAACTCTTTCATATCGCACTGTTTACATAAAAACAGTACAGGCATTCTCGAATTTCCTCGCGTAACCAACTTTACAGACTACCAGGATTCTCTTCGACTACAGCGTGCACACCAAGTTGTCAGCATCAGCCTCTTTAGCTCTTGTGTGCTGTCATCGTGCGTGTTCGAGGTGGCTTTGGCGAGCTGCGTGACAGCGACTGTATCCGCAATATCTGAATCTTTCAAATTTCTTCTGAAAAGGAAATGAAATAGTTGAAAAACGAAACGTAAATATTTTCGTTATATCGCAAGGAGATAAGAACTTTCAAATAGTAGGGAATTCAAATCAGGCTTTGCTGATAATAGAAAATTCAAATCAAAATTATCGAATAACAGGCCAAATTAATTTTTAAATGACAGAAAGTTCGAAATAATCGAAATTTCCAGAAATATTCGGATAACGTCGAGAAAAAGAACCGGAAAGAACGAAATTTCCACTCAATTTTAAAAGAGACTTCCAGAAAGGAATGCAAGCCTTTCTAACGGTGTCTGTCACGAAGTTGCAAAGTCAGCCGGAAACCGAATGGATGCTCAAATTCCGTCGATGAAACGTAGCTGTGCCCGTTTCAGGAACTCGCGCACAAACTCTCGCGGAGCTTCGACATGCAAGAAGCTCAGCTCCTCGAGGAGGGTGGTTCTGGTGCAGCTACTGCCGGTGCTGGTGGTGCCGGTGGTCCGCCACGAAGACATCACAGCGCTCAAAGGTTGGCTAGAAGCGAAATGTCGGAGAGAAGGGAGGAAGACGGCGCCCTGGTGGTCCCTGATCATCAAGGTAACCTGAGGATCACCGTGAAGAAGACCAAATCGATTTTGGGCATTGCCATCGAGGGTGGTGCCAATACCAAGCACCCACTGCCCAGGATCATCAACATACACGTAAGAAGATTTTTGTTCTCCGAGAAACAAGCATTGATTTTGTTTAAAAATGAAATCTAATGTTCCGCGATGGGTTAGGTTTGTAAAATATTTAAATATCATAAATTAGAACATACTTTTATTAGATTGTAATTCTTGAATGATGATTCTCAATTAGGAATATTTAAATTATTAAAAAATGAGTGGAAATTTTTGTAGATATTCGTGCGCATAAAAATTATGATATTTAATAGATGAAACGAATCTTTATACACAGATCTCCAGTTATATTCATAAAATTAGCAGGATCATTGTTAGATAATTCTTGTACCTATTTCATGATTTGTTTAACATTTACATTAGTTAATCTCTCGTTTGGACAATCGGTGTAGCACAGTAATTACTCGTAGCTCTAGCGTTAAGCAAACATATTACCGATACTCGGAACGCTAATCAATTAACGCATTTACAGGATAATGGGGCGGCGTACGAGGCCGGTGGCCTCGAGGTCGGTCAGCTGATACTGGAAGTCGACGGCCACAAAGTCGAAGGTAATTCCGAACCTTCCTCCGCTAATTCAAGTTCACACAAATCTACCAAATTCTCAGCAAACAATTACCTCAATTTATTTTTCTCCACAGGTCTCCATCATCAGGAAGTAGCAAGACTGATCGCAGAGTCGTTCGCAAGGCGAGACCGCAACGAGATCGAGTTCCTGGTTGTCGAGGCGAAGAAGAGCAACCTGGAGCCGAAACCGACGGCTCTGATATTCCTGGAGGCGTAGCAGGAATCTCCCACCTCCGAGCCGGAACCACCGTAGCCCAACGTGACAAGAGCTCGGCCCGCGACACATTTCGAGCGTCGTCGACACTGAACCGTCGGTTGAAGCTGAAGAGTTTCGTGATGGAACGATGCGATAGATCGTCAAGCTTGTCGATCAACGAACACAGTCGACACGAGGAGAAAGACGGAGGACGAGCTTGGCTCTTCATCTTCATCGAACGCTGCCGATTCGACGTGTGTCGAGCTCTCAGTCAGGTGCTAATTGAGCCTGGCCTTGGTGGTGGGAATTTTCCAAGAAGAAAGCACGAGGAATAAAACGAGACAAACAAGGAGAGAAGTAAGTGCTGCAGAAGAAGAAGAAGAAGAAGAACAGGGGAGATGTTAAGAGGCGAGTGAAGCTCGATTAGCGAGTCAATGGGATGATAATTACGCGATCGTCCACACCGTCGTGGTTGCCCTTGCTGCTTTCAGGCTAACGGTACCAGATGTTTCTAGTACTTCTAGAACTTTCCAACTCTTTAGCCGAGTCCAAGATACCGTTGCCTGGCAAGAACAAATCGAAAATTGTCGATTTGAACCAGCGACGAGGAACAAAGCTATCGGACGATCAAAAAGACAAAATATAAAGGAGTACAAAGAAGGTATGGTTCTTGAAAGATTGTGCGAGCAGAGACACTTTGGGTGTGAAGATGACGTTTAAAGAGAGAAGAAGGATTGTCTGTGCCAAACTATTAGGGATTGTTTCGTGTATACTAATTATGATACTCTTATAATCGTAAAACGAGATACAATAGGGGACTCTATCATCAGGACAAGAGTGGAGATTCATCGAGCGCATGAGTACTGATCCTGAGTGACTAACTTGTGCTAATACGCCTCATGACGTTGGTGTTGCGTGAACGCTCGTCTCACGGATACGAAACACGAACAGTGTCAAGAGATACAGGACAGTGAGATCACGCGAGACACGATGATTCGCTGAAACGCGTTTTCAAAGATCCTGAACGGTGTTGCCGGGTCAGGATTTTCGTCGATCTGATTCCTCGAAGGGATTATTTAGTGATACCGTGATGACAATCGGTTTGAACTGTCTTTTAAACACACACTGTCTGGAAGAGGTATTATATAATTTCAAGCTACCGTTTCAAATTTTTCGAACCTACATTTTCCAAATTTCTCACTTCGAGTTTTTACTTCGAACTTCAGAATCACTTTGAATTACCAAGAAGAGTAGCTGTTACATATTTTTATATTTGTCAAATCACAGCCTGTTAAGAACCCTCGACTACGGATCCACAGAACTCTATTTTTGCATAAAATCTAGATAAAGTGTAAGCGAGTAATTACGTATTTAAGATCAACAGGCGACGCGAGGAAAAAACTGATCGAGGAACGAAATCGACGAAACTCCTAGCCGAGCGGAGACCGAGACTAACATAGACTTATTACGGGAATTGTTGAGGCTTAACGAAATATATTATATATACATATATATTATATGATAATATTATCGACTATCGTAGTGGAATTGCAAACATGTACCTACCCGATCACACCTCGCGGGTGAGCCGGAACTTCCGGTGCGGCAGCGAGGAGCGCGCAGACGGATAAACGGAGATGATTCTATAAGAGAAAGCGAAATATTTTCAACAAGTTTAAAACTAAACCTAGAGAACGCGTTACTTAGTTAATGGGCCTGGTCGTTTGAATTTTCGAGGGATCGCGGACGATCGGCGCGTCGAGAAAGAAATATCTCAAAAAAAGGGTCGAGCAAAATCGTCAATGGTCGAGGGAATGAACGAAAGAAAGAGCCGACAGAAAAGAAGAAGAGCGAAGAAGGGAGAAAGTTCCGCCTGATGGAAAATTCGGAAAATACGTGAAACAAGCAGCGCGCGATCGCGAGATCGCAATAGTGGATCGTGTTTTGAACGACGATTCGCGCCACGCTTGGAAAACTCGAGGCCGTATTTTTCACACAGGGATTTCGTGCTTTTTTTTTCACATCGGTGTCGTTTCGCGTGAATCGCGTCGTTTAGGCATTTTTTTACGATGAATCGTAGACACGACGAGAGGAGCGGAGAATTTTCTAAGTGGTACGTTCGCAGTCTTTGTTGTAATCGATGTCTCCAACTTTTTCGATCGTTGTGCACAGGTCACGTTGAGTTTTCGTTGTTTGCGTAATTTGGAGAACGAGAGACGCGATTCCTTCATTGATTTTGTTGATATTGTTTTTTTTTTTTAATCTCTCTCGAGAGGAAAATCACTTTCTTTCTCTTTTCTTTCGTGCTCAATTTAGAGAGTTCTATTTAATTCTGTTCTGTTTTATTAAGTAACGGGAAAGTAGAATTCGCACGTGTTCTTCCGAATCGATTTAGGAACCGTAGGGAATTAAATTTCAAATTAGGTAGGACGTTCGATTTCCTTTCGCGAGCTGAACGAGTATTTTCTTTGGGAGGAAACTGCTTCGTTAGGATCGGCAAAGCCGTTTTTCGCCAACTATTCATAACGTAATTGCATTTAAACGAGAAGTAGTTACTAATTATCAATTCGTGAGTATAAACGTAGCGACTGTTGTTGTAAAAGTAAATGGTTATCGATACGACTTGTTTAATATCTCTACCTGTTACCGAGTTAAATGTAATTTTAACGAGTAGTAGCGTGTATATGTTGAACGTCACGACGAGTCCACGAGTCGTTCTGTCGAATGCCCATGATCGTCCGCGATCTTGCTCGCTTTAACAAAAATGATATAAAAAAAAAAATAGATAAAAAAGATGCAAAAAGCAAAAAAAAAAAAAAACGTGAAAAAAATACCGTGCAAGCTTAAGTAGTGAATTATCGCGTATATGTAACGAAACAGCCGAATCGGGACGCGAGCCGACGCGAGAAAACGAGAAACGAGATTCGACGAAAGCCACTGACGATTCAAAGGATCTGGATTTCGATGGAATTTCTCAACATCCTGTCAATATCTTGTGATTTGTGAGTTTCGATTTATTGCGTTTGCGCGTCAGACGAGGTTTAAAGACAACAGGTGATAAATTTAATTCTTACGCGAACAACGAGCTTGGGCAAATTTTATTCGAAATAAAGATGAAAAATGACAATCTGAAGCAACGAATCGTTTCAACCATTTTATTTGCTTCACTCGTTTTAGAAATTTTCTTGTTCGTGTACTTTCTTTCAAAATCATAGAAAATACATCGAGTAATAGCGTCGCGCAATAAAATAAATTTGGAGAGAAGACGCGAAAGAACGAATCGAGTTTTTTGATCGTCAGTGTGCTAGCCAAGTGAGCTACGTTTCAAAACGTAAAACTGTACAACGTATTCCGGTAAATGTGCCAAAGAGAAGCAAAACAAGAACCATAAGAAAAGGAAGGAAAAGAGGAAGAAGATACAAACGGTAACGGGCAATTCGAGCGCGGAAGACGGGCAAAGTTGTGCATACAATTGAAGACGGAACCTATTACGAGTCGACGCGATCGAAAGAAGAAAAGAAACTACAACGAGAAAAAAGGGGGAAAACTTGTTTCGCAGCTGGTGTGCACTCGTGTTGTTTTCTTCGTTGTATGTTTTATGACGCAGAGTCGCAATTGCATCGTTCGCGTTGTCGCGAACAAAACTACAAACTCGCGGAACATGGCGGAAATAAACGAAGAGCAACATCAGACGAGAAGAGCGAGGGGATAAACCAGGGGAGAAAGATGCGGCTAGCTGCTTTTCAGCTAGGCGAACAAACGAAACTAAAAGGAAATATACCTCGTGTGTTAATGTTTCTTCCTGTTTTCGAAGCGAATTTTTCTAACGAAGTGAATCCCAGACGTCGAACAAAAGATAGGAGAGGAAACGAGGAACAAGTGTCGGAAAGGAGAAATCTTGAAAAGTGAGACGAGAGAAACGAAAAGAAAGGAGACGATATTTTTGTAAAAGCCTTTGATGTATAACGCAATTCACCGGAGCTATTCGAAGATCTCAGCTGACATATCCGACAAATGCCTTACCGCTTTGATGAATCGAAACAAAAACCGAAAAAAGAAAAAACCATAAAAAAAAAAAGGAATATGAAAGCGACGCGAACCGATCACGATCGAGGAAAATGTTGGAACTTCTCATCGATCAGCGTCAGTGGATACGATACGGCACGCAGGAGGACCGGCTTTTCGATCTTTCGATTTTACTTAACAATCGGAGACAACGAGCGGAGCGACGCTGATAATCTTTCTGGTTGAAGAGTTATGTAAAGCAGGAAAGTGGGAAAAACTGGTTCTGTCGGGCACGGTTCGAAACGGAGAGCGTTATTTATAAATGTAACGCTCGAATATCGGTATTCCTATTTTCTAAAGCGGAGGTAGTCTTTAAAAGAAAAGAAAAGAAAAAAAAAAAGTGAACGTTCACTCGACACTCGGAATACTTAAAGAAAAAGATTTGTCAAGGTTTTCCCTTCTCGGTGATAATAAAATAAATGGTAATCGGTTTTCGAAAGTATCCAAGTTTCCAGATTCAATCCTTTGAGAAGGAGTCACGTGAAATTTAGACGTAAGATAAAATTTACAGAATTCCTCCCTTTTTTTCGTTTTCGTTCGCAACGAACGTTGCCTTCTCAACTAAAAATGTTATCAGTAAGTTTCTCCATCACCCAATTGCAACAAAAATATATCAAAACTATGATACAATAGGAACGAGGGGAAATATTTATCGTTTAAAGACTGCCAAACTGTTGCAATTAACCACTGTACATTAACAGCTTCATTATCTTGCACGATGTATGCTTCACGGTCGCTGATCCTCCGATCCCATCGAAACAAGAAGAGAAAACAGATTCATCGGTAGCTATTTTTCCACACACACACACACGCGCACACACACACGCAATGTTCCCTTTACTCGACAGCAAACTGGAAGTTTCGAACATTTCGAGGAAAAAAACACTGTCGCTCTCGGTCGATCGGTTTTCAATTCTTTTGTTTCAAACGGAGAACGCGTTAATCCAAATTCCCCTTCGATTACTTTCGATTCGATAAGAAACAATAATGTACAAATTCGTTTCGAGAGATGAAAGTTTCGTGTGCCCGAAGGAAAATGAATCCCGCGCGAACACGATTTCTATATGAAAATCAGATTAATCGCAAGACCATGATGATTGACCGCCTTTCTCCAATGAAAACGTCTTTTCTCGGAGAAAATCGGTTTCTGATTTTCTTTACGAAACGGGCTTGAGCGTTCGCGCTTAATTTGGCATTGAAGTCTCCGCGCCATCTATGCTTCTCTCGCTACTTTCATCGTTTCTTTCCGTAGAAAGAATTTCTATGAATTTGATTGAATTTCGTAAAAATAATTCGACTTGTTCAAGTTCTCGTTTGAAATTGCTTCGAGTGGAAGAAAATTAATTCCGAAGAAGATTATTCTAATCCTTCATCACGGCGAGACAATTAGTCGACGATCTGCTGCAGCTGATTAACACTTTGTACTCCAACGGCATTATTTCTTTCAAAATTTATAAATGAATCTACAAATATAACTTTTTCTTTGTTGGAACAAATCTCATTGCTGTAAAATATTGGAAATAGAAGTTCAACTGTAAAAGAAGATCGGACCGAGTACAAATGGAGTTGAAGTTCGAAGAGGAAGAACAAACATCGAGCGATAGATCGAAGGGTGTTATCTAACTATACACTAAAAAAGAACCATGGACGAAACGGATTGTATCCACGAGACACGACTTTATTATCTTAAATAACAGCGTCAGCTCCCACGGGAGCCGGACACAAAGCAGACACGTTGCGATGTCAGACAAGAAAGAGCGTAATCTAGCAGAGAGCGATTTATTTTTTCAACGACAAAAGAGAGAAGAGAAGCAAAGCCGAGAGACACACACACACACACGGACTCGTACCACGTTGAAACCTGTTCAGCTTTCGCACGTTCACCATCCGCAAACTTGCTTTTTCTCGATCGACCGTGGAACCGTGGGTGCGGGCGAACATTGAAATCGATCCTCTGGTCGACGGTCGAGACCGATCGCACGATGAAAGGCGAACCAGGGACTTCGAATGGTTGCGAAGAGGAAGCACGTGACTATCGCTCGAACGTGAACGACTTCCTTTTTCTCGCGACTGATATCGGTTCACCTCGAGCAAATATCAACCGAAAAATTTAATTAAATGCAAAAATCCCAAGAATAGAGCATTTAGGATTCAAATTCGAAGTGAAGAAACAAGAATTTCCCTGTTATAAGAAATAAGAAGGGAAATATAAGTGACAGTTCTGTTTTCAAACTTTAACATTTAATTGAAACCGATGGAAAATTCTCAGAGACTTTAACGATCAGAAAAGTACGTTTAATCAAATATTGCGATGAAATCTTCTTTAAAAGAAGAAGCTCGCATCCATGATGCCACGTTGATTCCGAAAGTCGATCGGCAAACGTAAAATCGCGTGAAATCTCTAGCTTAAGCTTCGTACACACGCTCGCAATCGAACGTCGAGTCGAACGAGCGAGAATATTGAAAAGAGAAACCGAGAGAAGCCGGTGGAAAACGATTCGCGAGGCTAATAACGAGTAAAATGACGCAAAAGCGAATCGACCTCAACCGTCGACGGATAAAAGCGCTAATCGAATTGTAAAGCAGATGCAACTGTACTCGTAACGTTTCAAGGAACACATTGTACATAAGCAAAACCGCTCGTTCATACCGCATTTCATAGATCATCCTTTTTGCAGCCAATTTCGTACACCTTTAGTGACACACGTACACGTACACAGACTCACAGAGGTCGAAAGAAAAAAACACACACACACACGCACGCAAATCAGACGACTGTACAATACACATAACAATACAAGGAATCGTTCCGAACGATGAAAACGACAAGGCTCGTCGCGTTAATTAACGATCCGTCGATTAATACGCTCATCGTCGTGGAACAGAGATAGAAAAGATGGCACGGATGAAATTGTTACACCAGTAACGTGTACACAATGATACGTTAGGCGTATACAGGGTGTAAAAGAATTATGCGCCCACGATCTTATCGGATTCGGCTCGTTGTGCAACCACGTTGTGTGAAATAATTAAATGCCTCGATCCGCTTTCTTTTCTTTTTCAGAACGAAGATTAGCGGTGACGTTGATTAGCAGATCGTGATTCAAAATGCGACAAACGCAATTTCACTCAGTCTGCAAAACTCGCACGATGTTTTTACTAAATTTCAATTCTTCGTTCAATTTTCGAATTTATTTAAAGCCCTGGAATTCAATGAAAATTGAACGGTTTCTCTCAAATTTTGCCCAAATAACATATGTACATACAGAGGTTTGAATATTTATTAAAACGCTGTTAATTAAGAAATTAATGCTGACCTAGTAAAATATTACTTTCTTTCATTTGGACGAAAAGAAAGGCCATTAAATGGTACTTTTACACCCTATGTGTACAAACACGCGACTACACACAGGACACATTCACGAACACGTGTAGAATAAATGTAAAGGGATAAAAAGAAAATTCATCGTTTCTCCGAGTGCAACGCGCGCGATCATATTGTTTGTTTATTGTTAAAAGTCGCAAACGCTTTAATTGTTCGTTCGAATTGTTGTTGTTCATTATTGTTAACGTCGTCATTATTATCGTCGTTGAATGTCGCGAAACGTGATTACAATCACCAATCAGCCTGTCGATTTGTCCTCTTTGTGTGTCATTATTATTATTATAGTCATTACGTTATGATTACGACCGTGAATATTTATTATTATTAATAACATCATCACCGCGACGATGGCGATTATTATTGTAATTGAATAAAACGTTCACCACGAGAGGTATGAATATTTATCGTGTCTCTCATTTTCACTTCCTACAATTCATATTTTAATTTCCCTTTGCCTTGACATTTGATATTTGAATATTTTAATAATAATCATTTATTACGTTATAACATTCGTTATTAAACTTGTTAAGTAATGCGAAGAAATGAATTGACAATATAATCGTTACGAACAGTAAGTAATTGAAACAACTAAACTATGTTTTAAAATATCATACGATTATACTTTAAATTAATCTAATATTCAACATTCAAGGATTTCAAAAATAAATTTAGGTAAATATACTAACGTAATTAATAATAATTCTAACAAAATCGAAAACAATCATAGATTCCTTGCTTACCACGCCATAGTAAAGGTGTGATCGATAAAGAAGATAGGAGAAAGTTCTGGCAGCAGCTAATTCAGAAAACTGTTTCCAAAACTCATCGATAAGTAATTACACGTTGTCCTCGCAAATTAAGCTTCAATTCGATATGAAATTAATTACAAATTAATTGCCTCGCATTTACCCTGAACGGGATCACAAGATATAAAACAATCGATGATGTAATTTTGAATTAGACGATAACAATTAATCAACCAAGAGGTCGTGTGGGAATTTATAAATGGTAGTATCACACACGAGGTATAGGAATAAACATTGCATGTTAAGAATATCCGTCGCCCGTGATCTGAAATTCCGACATACAAAACGGTAAGTAAGAGAAACAGTGAATACCCAAGCAATGATATAGGAGACTCATTGCAAATAATACCGAAATGAGAAGCTCTGGTACTATACACAATTACAAAAACAAAATATTTAGTTGTATCTCGCCATTCCAAAACATAAGATCAGTATCAAAAATTACACCATTTTTAACTGTGAATTTGTGTGTGTCAGAAAGAGTTTTATTCGTGTTTTACGAACTCATCGACTGGTTTTTCGATAGAAACGATAAAAACAATACTTATAACATTTCACATTTAACGAAATATAATAAGAAAAGCTTACGAATACTTTGAAAACTTGAAACATCAGGAGCACAGACAGTTCTAGGATTTTGACATACCACATTCAAGAGACACACGCCCTCCAGATAAAACACTACAAATTTTAGACAGAGTCCGAATGTCCTTCAAGATATGGTTAAAACATTTATCGAAAACTTGAAATATCAGGAACTCAGTCGGCTGTAGCGATTTGGTATGCCACCACCCCGAACCACAAGTTGTCGCACAGAAATAAATATTTCAACTAGAAACTCCACCTTGACCACGAGATATACAAGCAAAATTCTTCCAAAAAAATGTGAATACGAAGAACAGATCAGCGGCAGCCTTTGTCGCGCCATGCCTTCGATTCACATAATATCCGGATACAAAACAAGAATTTATAGCCAGAGATATGT